TACAGTGACGTGGACATCATGCAAAGACTGCCAGACTCTGTAATACTGTAAATGATCAGTGACTCAGGTTAACACTAAACTTTAAACGGTACCTCTGTGTCTCTGTGTGTGTGCTGAACATTTAGGATTGAGTCAGGCTGCATCAGCTGAAGCTGTTATTTGTATATATCAGTATTTTTTAATTCAGGTGTGGGGAAAATACGTAAGACTGCAGTGAAGCGATGCACCAGATTAATCCCTGGCCAAAGGTATCGTACATAAATCAGACTACTGATCCAGCCACATCAGCCTTTTGTGAGGTCTGTTTAAAGTAGACTTAAAATGAACTGCAGGTTCCTGAGAGGTGGACTGTGAGCACAGAAACACATGTTCATACATACAGCTGCAGCAAACTTACATTAATTTTAAATAGATTTGTTACTCTGATGTGTGTCTCTGTGTTAGTCCTCTGAGAGACTGGTGACCTGTCCAGGTGTGCTCTACCTATGACTACTGGGACAGGCTCTAGCCTCTGGAATAGAAATTTTCTGTTATTCTCATTTAAAGTATTTAAGTACTTATGCATATGCTTAGTTGTGACACTGTTACTGTTCAGTGAAAGTTTCTAAAACTAGATGAACTTACTTCAGCAGTTTGAGAAAACAAATCCCTTTACAGGTGCTGATAAGGCCAAGGGCACAAAACAGCATAACCATTGATCCGTTTCATAGCGAGACACGTGAAGGGTGGTAGGATCAGTTTGTAACTTCCTCCTTCTTCCTTGGAATGCATAAAGGAGGAGGAGCACGACTTCTGTGGCAGAGCTGGCAAGACTGTGAACTGTGATGTTTGATGTGTGTTGGCTCTCCTGCACGCTCATTCATACCACCCCTAAATCCTGTGTTGGGTCTGTGCTTCCACAAGCCCCGCTGGTTTAGAGACTTATTCATCATGAAGAAAACAAGACAGTCAGCGATCGATCGATTTACTTGCAAGGGAGGCCTCGTTGGTATCTACCACAAAATGACCCCAATGACGGCCTCCTCTCACTTATTGGGAAAACAGTTCACACAATACACATCACAGCAAGGCAACGCCCACATGGTTCTAAGACAAGGCATTGTATGTATATGTGTGAACATCTGTATGCATGTGTGTGTGTGTGTGTGCGTGTGTGTGTGACCTCCTGCTGACCAAAAAGAGTCTGTAACAGCAGGAAGCAACATCACAAGAAACAGATCTTCACAAGGATATGTTGATATGTTGATATGATGTCTGTGATAAAAACACTACCGCCCCCCACCCAGAACCTCGAGAATCTGGAGAGGGGGACAAAAGGAAATTCCTTTCATCACAGAGTTAAAACAATGTAGAGATGATAAGCATAAAAATGACAACATTTAACAATTAACATCCTGACTCAGAAGTTACTAGCACAGTCTGCTCAACAAGAAGCAACTTAGGAGCCACTCATTTTGACTCCATGGTGTCAAAGGACAGTTTTTTGGCCACCCATTCTAAGCAGGGAGAAACACCAATTAAGACTGTGTTGGTTGCTCAAAAGCTGATCCATTCAGAGACAGTTACTCTTCCCAGGGTCTCCCCAGAGGCTGAGTTTCAGTTCTCTGCTGATTCTGGACCCTTGGAGGCTATCTCCGCTGGAGGGTCCATGACCTACTATATGTGCCCACTTGGGATTGCCCATCTGGGTTTAATGTGAAAAACCCAAGTGGGCACCACACAAAAAGCCTAGTTTGAGCCCATGCCCACATGGTACCCATCCAGCCTGAGAAAAAACCTGGTGGGGCCCATATATACATGTTGGCCAGGTAGGCTTTTATTTTCAGCAAACATTTTATTATCTCCTCACTATGGAGCAGGATCATGTTGTGAAAGTACAAGTAGATTGATAAATTAGTAGGATTGACAATTGGTAGGAAACAATTTAAGATTTAAAGTCTCACAAACACATTAAAGTCTTTAAATTAATGTAGACAAAAATACAGATTTTAACCATGTAAAGAACCGTTTTAATATAATGTAAGTTCCTCATTAAGGGTAGTAGTTTGTTATCAACTTCTTCTCAACCTTTTACCACACAGACTAGAA